CCCCATCACTCGCATCGCTCCCCCCTACGTGCACTGGAATGCCAGGCTTTGGCCCCTCTGGAATACCTGCCACTGCCTAAAGGTGTAGTCCTTTCCCCTGAGGGGTGAGGCATGGGCCACGGCCACGGCCACTCCCCTCCTATCTGGAGCACCTTCCCCTCTTACTCAGCAGTTTACAGGTTACTTCTTCCAGAAGCTTTCTTTAAGCCTCCCTACCCAGACCCAAGAGCTGGACCCCACCAGTTTATGAATACGCATGCACTCTGCTCTCTCCTGTTATAGCACTGCATGGTACTTACCTGTCCACTTGTACTTTCCCTGCTAAACGAAAAGTTTAGGATTATTTTTGTGGCCTATTACATTCCCACACCAGCACAGTAACTGGCACAGAGCAGACATGCAACAAATCTTTATTGAACCAGTTTACCACTTAATCATGCAGGCTTTCGTATCTATGGGAAATCAAGTCTATCCTTCACAAAAGAGGAAAAAGAAAGTATATACAGATTACTTACTAGAAAACCTCTTTCTTCAACACTTGAATTCACTTGACATTTTATTTTTAAATAAATATGACCCTCCAAAGGAGATAAAAAGGGTACCTGCGAAGAAAGACAGTAAATTATTTGCAAAACAGTTTCAAACTGTGATTTCTCTTGATAAAATATGTTCTAAATCATGAACAGAGAATTTTGTGCTTTGAAAACACACTGCTTTCTAAAGCTGGAATATAAAATAAGTGGCCAAAAAGCCACTGGTTCCTCAGCCTCCTTAGCAACAAATGCTTTTGAAGAATAAGTTCATTCAAGTTAGAGCTGATGAAAACAAAACCCTAAGTCCCAGTCAACATGATAAAGAAAACACAGACTTAAGAGGAGAATACAAGTGCTTATCCATTTTCCATCAACAGAATATACTCAATAGGAGACTGGATAAACCAACTGGTGTATCAATACAATAATACATTACTCAGCAATAAATAACAGTGGACTGCAGAATTAAAAAGCTGATTCTCAAATTCATGTAAAATTGCAAGAAACCCCAAACAATCTGGAAAAAGGAAAACAAAGATGGAAGAACCATACTGCCGAATTTCAAAACTTAATCCAAAGCGACCATAATCAAAACACAGTATTGGCATAGAATAGACACACAGACCCAGGAATAGAATTGAAAGTCCAGAGATAGACCCATATATCCATCTTATGGCCAGTTGATTTTCAACAGGGTACCAAGACCATTCAATAAAGAAGGAGCAATCTTTTCAACAAATGGGGCTGGGGAACTGCATATCCACATGCAAAAGAATAAAGTTGGATCCCTACCTCATATCATATACAAAAATTAACTCAAAATGAATCAATGACCTACACATGAGAGCTAAACCACAGAACTCTTAGAAGAAAACATAAAGATAAATCTTCAATGATCATGGACTTGGCAATGGATTCTCAGATATGATACCAAAAGCATGAGCAACAGAAGAAAAAATAGATACATTAGCTTCATCAAAATTAAACACTTTTCAGTACATAGATTACTCAAAAAATTAAGGATAGAACTACCATATAATCAAACAATCCCACTTCTAGGAATTTATCCAAAATAACTGAAATTGGGTTCTGAAAGGGATATTTGCTCTCCCATGTTCATTGCCGCATTCTTGACCATACCCTAGAGGTAGAAACCACCTAAATGTCCATCAGCAGACGAACAATACAGAAAATGTGATAGTCTTCTCCTTTCTCCCCACTTCTGAGTATAAAAACTACTCTGGGCTACCCAAATGCTGTTCTTCTCAGAGTATGAAACTCCCCTGTGTATCTTTTCTTGTGTGTCCTAACCTACAACCCCATACCTGTGCATGGCAGATCCTTGGGGTAAACTATTGTATCTTTTTATTGTTTGTTCCCATATCCTACTGCCAAATCATATCCAGGCATTCAATAAATGTTTGCTAACATAATACTGTGGAGGCAAATAAATTACCCAGAGTTCTTCTATTAAAAAATAAAAAATAAATATGGTACATACATACAATGGAATATTATTTGGCCATTAAAAAGGAAACTGTCAGATGCTACAACACAGATGAGCCTTGAGGACATTATGCTAAGTGAAATAAGCCAGGTACAGAAGGACAGATACTTCCTAGTTCCACTTATATGAGGTATCTAAGGTAGCCAAACTCACAGAAGCAGAAAGTAGACTAGTGGTTGCCAGGGGCAATTTAAAAAACAAAACAAAACATAACAGGCTAGGAGCCAGATTTAACCTGTAGGCCATAATTTTGCATGGTCTTGTGATAGATAAACTAAGCCCAACCATATTAGTACTGCATTAAATATAAATTGATTAAACACTCCAATAAAAAGACAAAAGATTGTTAGACTAAATAACAAAATAAGATCATAAACTGTTTAGACACAAATCTGACATATATGAACACGGGTGTGTTGAAAATAAAGGATGAAAAAAGATATAACGTACAAACACCAATCACAAGGAAGCTGCTGTAGCTATTAATATCAGACAAAACAGACTTCAAATAAAAGAGTTTCAAGATAAAGTGAACAATTCATCAAGAAGATACAATAATCTTAAATGTTCATGCACCTAATAGTATAGCTTTAAAATACAGAACGCAAAAATTGACAAAACTAAGTACCTAAATTGAGACTATGTTGTTCTTACTAGCTAGAATTTTGGGGGATTGATATTTTTTTCCAAATAAAATCATGATGTCTATCTAGCATTGAAACCACTCACACAACAGAGTATACAGATGTCGTAATATAAAGTTGTACACCTGAAATCTATATATTGTTATTAAACCAATGTTACCCCAATAAATTTAATAAAATTTTTTAAATAAACATTCACATAAATATTTTTAAATATATCATTCTTTTCAATATATTACTCATTAGTGAAGATGCATCATGTCAAAAGTATCTTAAATTATAAAAGCTGCTTAAGTATATGCAGTAATTTTAGAAGATTTTTAAGATTACAACATAAGAAATCCAATTGGACAGGTTGAGTCAGTAGAATAAAAGGAGTAACATACATATATTTAAAGTGATCTCGACTTCTGGGTCAAGAAAGAATGATGTTATTGTCTGTCATTCCTACTGTCCAATGAAAAAGACTAATATCCTAGTTAGAATAATCTTCGTTTAGTCTAGATTTTAAATTTTTACTGTAAGGTTTCCAACAATTTAATCTTCTCTTGGCCAAAAAGTATAGATTTCAATGGATTAATTCCATTAGACAATCCTCGAAATTTCTGAATTTAAAAGGGATCCATAATGTAGGATCGAAACATCACGCCTCACTACTGTACTTGTTATAAATTCCCTTGCCTTGTTTTTTCCCACACAGTTAGTTTTAAGATCCTTTGGCTCTCAGTGCTAATCAGTAGAATTTCATTGTTTAACCCAAAGAACGCTGCTGGTAAAAAGAATCTCAGAAAGATAGAAAGAAAATATTCCCCCTTACTCTACAGCTATGAAAGTAGATGATATTCTTGGTTAGAAGCTTGTCCTGATAAAGTGAATTGAGAATATTCACTAGGGAGTCAATGTTACTACTCAAGCTGGGTTTGGAGAAGTGTGAAAATGTATGATCCATCCTGTTCTGTTTTCTGTTGAACAAAAGGGTCTTTTAAGGCATCTGCCCCTTAAAGATTATTAAGAACTGTAAACTGTAACCTATAACCAGGGCAATTGTGTAATTTTCATGCATTGGAATATTTCTGAGGGAGAAAGGGATACTGTTAATAATTATACCAGGGCAAAAGGCATAAACCAGAATAGCTTTGTGCACGCCAGATGCCTAACCACTCTTCCTACGACCTCAAAATTCTACAATGCTAATTTTTGCTCTAATGCTATTTAAATTGATGATGTCTCTGTTTCCTGGAAAGTAGAAATATATAAGAGGTTTTTTTAAGTCGGAAGATGAGCTGTGGGATGTCCTCCCTTTATCCATAAACATATACTAAGACCTATGACTATTTTTTTTAAAACCTGTAACTATTTTGGATTCTCTATTCAAAGAAAAGAAAGCACTTGAGAGTCTGTAACTCACTGAGACTCATAATTTAAATTCCACAGTGCCAGACTTTACATCAGGTATCTAAAACCTCAAATAAGAAGGCAATCTCCTGTTAACAGTGTCCTACATCTGCACAGCAAACAGTCTGGATTAACCTCAAAAGTAATTCCATTCTGAAGGGATCTCAGAGATAACTGGTGTTTTATTGGTCAAGGTACCAGTAAAATAGGCCAACACTCCCTTGTACTGATAGTATCTGGGAAGATATGGGACACTTGCTTACTCTCTCAAAGTTAAATAGAATTATTATATGAGTATAAAAGGCCTTCCAGTTTTTCCCACCAACTTAAAAAAACATCTAAACTTAACCATTTTAAATATTCTTTTACATCAACTACAAGCTATTGGAACAAATATTTGGTTCCCCCTGGCATTCAAAAAAGCACATTTGGGACAAATTAACATCAAACTTGTGTTGTATTTGAAGCAGAAAGAGGCTTTAGAGTATCAGACACAACCAATTAAATTAAATGATTTTGCACTCAATCACATGGGTGCCTATTTAAGTGATAAACTCAAAAGAATTATTAAGAGAATGGAAATACTTTAATTTGTGACATTTTGAATTAAAATGGCAGACAAAAACAAACATTTAACGTGTGTCACTGAAATCCCTTTTATTTTAGAAATCAATGATATCTCTTACATACACATTTGCTTCATGACAGACAAGAGCGGGTAAGGAACACAGTTCACAGAAGCCCAGTTCTTATGTTCAATTAATCTGTAAATCTTGTTTTAACAATACAATAATACTGTCCAGCATTTTATAAATTAGCATTTTTACATATCCACAAAATGCTTACAATTGATCTTCACAGGATATTAAAAATCCTTTTTAAAATCTAAAATATATGATTGTACTTAGTATAATTTTAGTGTTAAATGCACTTTAATTTAAAAATTATAAACAGCATCATCTACACAGCAATATGCCTATTAGCCAACCATGACCAAAAAAGTTTTCCACTTAAAATATCACCAATAGCTCTTTCAATATATGGGGAGTAAACAATTTGAATAAATTTAATTTGGTATTTTAGTACCCAGAAAAATCAACATTGACATGACTACCGAATTGGAAAGAATTTAAATGTAAAAAAAGAATGTAGGAGAAAAGCCAACACCAAACATGCAAGAAAAAAACAGAAAGCAAAGTAAAGATGCCCAACTGTAAGAGACTGAAGGGATCATGTATATAATGTCCTTACTTATTCAAAATAACCAAGAAGGTACTGGAGTGTTAGTGAAACAAATAAGTACAGGCCAAAAATTAGGGACTGATTTTTAAGCTCGTTAGTTTCAAGCAAAGAAAAAATGGCAACCTTTTCCTGGAACAAATAGCCCAGTAGCTCTCGCTCTTTTACATCATAATTTATCTAAAACAAACAAAATAAAAGACAAAGAGAAAAAAAAGACCCAGGATCATTCAATTTGTTAAACTAGCGGAATCACTAAATAAAAAGTACAAGAATCTTATAAATTAACATGTTAAAAAATACATGTATGCATTAATAACCATCAAACTTTCAAATATAGTCTGGTTTTTGTATATCAACAACAACAAAAAAGGTATCTTGGAATTTTAAGCTATGAGAAAGGAAGTGACTTTGTTCAATGTTAAAGAGGAAATCCCTAGCAGGGCCAACACCAGAAACCAGGCCTCCTAATATTCAATCCTTCATCTCTATATTGTGAATACAAAATCTCTTAAAATATTAAAAATATATAAAGCAGGGGTCAACCCAGTTTGCCTCTAGTTCTCTCACACTTTAAAATGGTCTTGTTAGTTATTAAGTTGAGTCACATCACATTACGGTGAAAAGCACCCAGTGATACTGCGCAGACCTGAATGCTGAAGCTTTAAACCTGGGGAGGGAGTGTGGGAAGGAAACCCCTTAGACTCATGGGCACTTCTCTAGAAATTAACCTGTCCTTCCGTATCTTGTGAAAACTAAATCTACAAAATACTACTCATTTCAAAGTATCAGTTCAAATGGGCCAGTGACTAAGTTTAAAACTGTAAGCTTAACATCTACGTGCAGGAAGTAATACTTCCAGTTAATAAAAATAATCATAGGGATGTAAAGTACAGCATAGGATACACAGTCAATAATACTGTAATAACTATGTATGGCTTCAGAAGGGTCCTGGACTTATCGGGGTGATGACTTTGTAAGGTGTATAAATGTCTAATCCCTATGTTGTACACCTGAAACTAATATAATATTGTACATCAACTGTAATTGGAAAATGTCACAACTGACATTTAGAATAAGTCAGCATGTAGTACTTTGAGGAATTAACTGTTAAAATACAAGAGAGAAATATTTCCAAGATCAAAAAATATATCATGTAAGTACACCAATGCCTAGTTAAAATGTACAATTCTAAGAACATACATTTTTCAAAGATTTCAAATATTTGAAAGTACTGGAGAATTTCCACTGACCTAATTTTTCTGAAAATAAATAAGTAAATTTGGATTACCTTGTCCAGAGCAAACTTAGTGTTTCCTACTGAAGAGAGTGACAATGTGTGAGAGCCAACAAGGGTAAAGTTGCTGGTCCGCACGGCGCCGAGACCACCGGGACTGGCCATGACTGAAGAAAAGGAACTGAGGTTTAGTTCAGAGTGACTTCTGTAAGTGCAAATAACAACTCCTCACCTCACCCCAACAGAATGAAGTGAAACTACCAAAGAAAACGGTCTCATTTCCCTCCATTTCTAAATAGGGAGGGAAAACATCAAGTTCGCTAAGGAAAGCAGACTGTTGCATATTTTATATTTAACTACAGTAAAGTATAGGCACATCTGAGCATTTGGGACAGACAGGTTTTTAAAATGTGTACATAAAATGCAATTTTCCTATAAGAGAGAAGAGACATCATTGTTATAGTCTAGGGTGACTCAGACTATGCTGCATGGTGCTTCCTAAGTTCCTCTTGTACCAAGAAGGGACCAAAAGCCCAAAAGAGTGAAACCAGCTCCATCCTAATCCCCTCTGGGAAACAGGCCTAAAGCCGTTCTAGAGAAGGCTTCTTCTGGCTTACTGGGACCCAGTTCCCACTGTACTAGAAAGACACTTTTCTGATATGATTCAATGTCAGTCATGATCAGCAAAGTCAACAGAAGTCAACTCCATGGTGCTGGTGACACAGAACAAATCTACAGGACAGCATGAGCCAGGGTGACGAGCAATGCTCCCCACTGCAGTCATCAAGTGACCAGGTATCATGAGTACCGGCTGCTGGGCCTGAGTGACGCGGTGACCGGTGGCCTATGTGGCATCTGACAATGGCAACTGGACAGCATGCTAAAGTTGCTAATCTCACCTGTTACTAAAAACCATACAGAAATTATCTTTCACAGGAGACTATGCTAAACACTCATAATTGAGATGGCTGTATGGCCAAGGATGAAGGTCTTGGTTCTCCTCTTTATTCTAGTGTCTCAAATACAGTAGTTCAAGGTCCACTCACCTGAAGAATGAAGGGAGCTTTTCTAGAAGGGAGTGAAGGAGAAACAAGTTATTTTCCTTATTAGATACAGAGATTTAAGTATTAAACACAAAACTCTAACATTGCAAGAACTATATTTCAGAAAACATTTTTTTCTACATACAATATAGAGGTTTTCCCCCCATTAGTGTATTTTAAAGATTTCCAAAGTGCTAAGGGTTTAGAAATGGTTAACCAATTTACAATCATCTGTGCAACAGGAAGATTTCACAAGGAGGCTCAATTTTTTTTAAAATGCTACTTACAGTGGTTATTGATGTGAGAAGTCGCTTTGGAGTAATAGCCTAAAAGAAAAAAATACCTCAGTGTATTTCCTAGTAAACATTACAATTTGGAGCTTTACAATAACCAACCTTGAGACCCTCCCACATAGAAAATAGTTCTTAAATATGAGTATGTTATACCTGAGTCTTTTATTAAGGCATTACCCACACTGTCATTCTCTCTTTGTTAAGCTAAATAAAATTCTTTTAAACGACAACTTGAAAAGGAATAGAAGGGCAAAGACTAGGAAGGGCGAGAACCAAGCTAGAGGTTCTGGTCCTTGCGCCTGCAGTGACCATACTGGCCCTAAGTGCTGGTGTAGAGGACTTAGCGAGACCCGAGTTCCAGGGACAGGCTTGAGAAAGTTTAAAGGGTAACCGATGTAAGCTGTCAAGTAAACAGAGAAAACAGAATTATCCAGCCTGAGTGCAAGAGGAACTTATCCTTAGGATCATGATTATTCACTAGACGTTCACTTTCAGTATCCATACCTATTATGTGCAGTAACTGAAATTTGGGGCATAAAAACAATCCAAAAACTTTGTAGCCATTAAAAATTGTACATAAATGGAAACTGGTATAAGATCTATTATTTCTAATTATTATATTTTACTGGGTTTCTTTCATCCTCACCTTGGATTTGTAGGACTTTTTCTTCTTATCAGGCACCGAGGGATCTTTCTTTTGTACCTAGTACACAAGTCCAAAGCACAATTAGTTTAAATCTGGTATCTTTAAGAAAAACATACCAGTAGTTATTTTTGAAAGCTTTAACTGCTTACCAAGCTGTAAACTTCAATACTGATTTCAAAGTCATTGGACACATCTTCCCTGAAAACACAATGCATTAAAATATAAGAAAAATAGCAAGTTATGTCCCAAGACCATGCCATCAATACAGTTACAATACTCTAAGAGCAAAGGAAGTCACTGTGTTTCAACTAAAGACAGCAGCTATAAACCACTTAAGAATATAAAAATTGGTAAGAACAGTCTATTTTTTCCTATAATACAAGTCGAATATCTTCTTGAGTATTTTACAACTCAAAATCTTCAATAATAAAAGTAATTTTTTCATAGTGAATTTTGATGCTAGCTTCAAAATAAACCCATGACATGAAATATGTCTTTTCATTGAGATTGAATATTAAGTACATTATGAGATTCAAAGCATACATAAAAAATTATGCCCAATATCACGCACACACACTTTAAAGCACTCCAAAACATTAAATACCTATAGTCACAGGGAAACAAGATACTACTCAATGGAAGGAAATGTCAGAAACAAAGAAGAGTTCAACCAACCAACTGGAAACTGAGTTACTTGTCCATATAAAAAGAATGACCACCCTGCACCTCCAAGGTTATAAAAGTCACCTGTGTGTTTAGATTGTCTCAACTATTAAAAGGAGAATGTGTTTGGACCACCGAAAGCCTCATGCACTTACAGAGTGTACGTAGTGGGGAATGTCAGGGCGTCGCCATTCAGAGAGCTAGGCATGCTTGCCAGGGGTGTGGCTGCCATATTCTCGGCTCCCGCTTTCAGCAGAATCAGGAAAGAGTAGTTCGCTGCATCTGCAAGAAGGAACCGCGTTACAGAATAAGCACGCGCAGAATGAGTGAGATCACTGGCGTTCTGCAGACCAGAGGGGTAAAATAATACTGCCCTGATCCATATAAAGTTCACTGAAAGATTTCTAAAACCAACCTGTCAGACATAAAACATTCACCTAAGACATAAGCAGATGGTCATAATCCTGGAATACGCCTTATCAAGGTCTCCTCCTACTTTGGGAATTAAAATAACTTCACTCCACACCCCTCAAGTTCTGCTGACTTCAAATTTTACCTATTACCACTAATTCTTTAGCTAATACTATGTACCTGAGTAGTATATACCTGAGTATATATCTGAGTATATACGATTACATTTCAAAACTGAGATTAAAATACTCTATTTCTGTGAAAGTTCCTCAGAAATAAATTCCAATGAAAACACAAACTATTTCTTCAGTTTGTCATTAAATAACCAGATCTCAAGGTACACATTAAAGGACCACCAGGTTTCACCCACACCCGCCAGAGCAGGAAACAGCAAGAGTGGGGACTGAGATCACCTCACTCCTGCCAAGGCGCTCACACCCTTGAAGACCTCCTCTTTCCTTTCCCAGCCCCTCACGTCCACGTCTCACCTGTGTCTAGCCCTTCTCTCCCTCAAAGAGAATGTCTCACACAAAAACTTAACCTTAAAAAAACCCAAAATGTAATAAAACTTTAACTTCCTGAGGCTGGCTATAATTACCCTGCGCGGCTCGCAGGTGCTGGCGCCACACTCCCCTTCAGCCATTTTGCTAATAAATGATCTTTAGGAGAAGACGTAGCTTAGAAACANGCTCGCAGGTGCTGGCACCACACTCCCCTTCAGCCATTTTGCTAATAAATGATCTTTAGGAGAAGACGTAGCTTAGAAACATTTACCTATTCACCCGAGAGGGCAAAGGGGACGAGATTTAACAGGAATGTCCCCACTGTGAGGCTCCTCACTCCTCCAGGCTCCATAAATTCAGAATTTATAGAACCACCTTCTACAATGGGACGAATTTTACACTGAATAAAGTAAAATAAGTTATTTTAGATGCCCCAAATACTTTCCACAATAAAATTAATTAATAAAACTGATCGCTATGTCAGAAGAACTCAGGAAAATATTTTATGTTCAAAATTATCTTTCAGGCCCGGCCAGCATGGCTCAGCAGTTGAGCATCGACCTCGGGTCCGGGAGATCGCAGTTCGATTTCCACTCAGGGCACACGCCCGGGTTGTGGGCTCGATCCCCAGTAGGCGGCGTGCAGGAGGCAGCGGATCAATGACTCATCATTGATGTCTCTCTCTCCTATTCCTTTCTCTCTGAACTCAATAAAGACTTCTTTTAATTATCTTTCGCTAGCTTCCTATTAATTACAGCCGTATCTGTTGTTGTGTGGCTGTGAGGCCACATATGAAATTCCCCTTGGTTATATTTACACACGCCTTCATGAAAGGAACTAAAGGCCCAAGATACAAGCTTTGCACCTTTATGCATGCTACCTGCCTCTTCCCATGTGCACAATCCCAGTCCAGGTGAGGGAATAATTAAACATGTAGCCTAGAAGGCATGCAGATAAAAATCACGTACCTGGTTTCTGAACTGTGCTGCAGACAAAATCTGCTTTGAGAGGCAAGCGGATTTCTGACAAAGTGACTGACCCTTTGGATGGGGCAAATTCACTCTGGGATGTGGGACCAGCCTTAGCCTTCCTCTGAGGCCCTTCACTCTTCAGTTTATTCAGCTCATCAATCAAAAGTGTTCTCTTCTCAGCTGCGTAAAAATATGCAAGTTACTATTTCAAATATTAAAAACTGCAACTAGTTCTAAAGGAGACCAACTCAAGACAATGCACTGATGCGGCCACAGTATATAAGCCCAGAGACGCAATCAGTAACTCTCCTTATAGAATCAGGTGGCAGGTAGCTGGGAAAAACCTTAACTGGTCATCAGTTTACCAAGTTTTCATAATTTAGTGCTTTGACTTTTAGTCAGATTTCTTGTGTGACATNCGGCAGGTAGCTGGGAAAAACCTTAATTGGTCATCAGTTTACCAGGTTTTCATAATTTAGTGCTTTGACTTTTAGTCAGATTTCTTGTGTGACATAATCTCTCCACCCTAACATGCCCCATTATTCATCACCACAAATACACACACAACAAAATTCACACACACTTTTAGCTATAGGTAGGTAGACAGGTAGAGATAAGAGTGTGTGGATGTAAGTATACTCATATATTCATTCTTGGCCTACTCTGCACAACTCCATTCCTTCAAGTGCATTCCAGTTTTTCTCACCCTTTCATGCAAACTACATCTCATTTTACATGCAGATTGTTCACAGACTTTATACAAAACAAAAAATAGGTTGACTGAAACAGGTTATCAGAAAAGGCCCTTTCTTGCCCTAGCCGGTTTTGCTCAGTGGTTAGAGTGTCGACCCTCAGACTGAAGGGCCCTGGGTTCAATTCCGGCCAATGGCATGTACCTCGGGTGCAGTCTCAAGCCCCAGAAGAGGTGTGTGCAGGAGGCAACCAGTCGATGTGTCTCTCTCTCTCCCTCCCCCTCTGAAAAGTAATGGAAAAAATATCCTCAGGTGAGGATTAAAAAAAATAAAATAAAAGACCCTTTCTCCACAATCAGAGGTGTCAGACTACAGGAGACGAAGCGAGTTTTCCTGGTGTGGAGCTGTGCTGGGCTGCTTCGGGTGTGGAACGCACTTGCGATGAGCAGCAGCCTTTCGGCCTCGGCTTCCTCCAGGGACCCCTTCCCGTGCTCCTGGTCCACACAGCAGCTCAGGGCCTGGCTGGCCTGGTAGATCACTGTCTGCTGCAGGTTCACTTCATTGTTGAGGTCCTGGTGAGACCAGCGAGAGGAGGAAAACTCACATTTTCAGTCACCACTTTCCCTTTACTGTAAACTTTGATTTTAACCAATCTGATTCAATAATTTCCAAAATTTCCAGAAAGTCAAAACACCACAGTTTCACCATTCAAGTTTCAACACTATGCACCAAGAACATTCAGCATATTGCAATAATCACACTATAAACATTCTTCCTTATGAAAGGCTTTCAACTCATACTTATTAAAATTATAATTGGGACCATGTCCAACAAAGTACATGTATGCTGTAGTTTTTTTACTGTTTTCTTAGAGTAAAAGAACCTCTAAGTGCAAAATAAATTTCACATTTCACCACCATCTAATTTATAGTTACACTTTACGGATATTTAGGACAAACCTGTTTAAAAATAAGTATTCCAACAATATCAAACAAGCTTCCAACTTTTCTAATAAAGAGGACCTTCCTCAAATTAAATTGAATTCAAGGGCAATTGCTGAGGTCCTAGGCATCAGGCCCTCAGGGTACAGAGATGAGTGAGGCCAGAACCTTGTGCTCCAGCTCAGTCTCAAGCAGGAAACACTGCAAACCCTCTTCCATAGACATACATACCTGCATCTTCTGCTTGACATTAACCTGATGAGGAAAGACACTCTTTTCTTCAGCATTCCTTTTCCCCTCTGATTTGGAAGTAACGTCTTCCTTCCGAACAATCTGCTTTATCGAAGGGCGGTCAGTCTCTCTGATTCTTTGAGATCTGTACGCATCAATGCTTCAGGAGACAGTTACACTGTTAGAAACCCAGTGACACACAAGGCACCACCTTTTACTAAACATTTCTGCAGAATCTGACACTGATACTGAGACGTATCAGCAGAACACACCACCAGAATGGAAAATGTCACTGGGTGACAGACCAACACTTTATTCCAAAGTTTTATGCAAGTTAATCATTACTACCATGATAATGACAAGTAATCCAACCTGTTACATCAATCTAAACCATGACCTTAGTGAGTGAATGCCTCCCAGAAACATTCTCACCTGTAAAGAAGATCACGATCCTCAGAGCCAATGCTATCGCCAGACTCAGCCCGCGGGACACGGGTTCTCTGGAATTTCCCTGGTTTTGGACTCTCATCACGTGCGCCACTGTCCTTTAACTCCAGTCTAGGCGAGGAAACTAAACCCTGCAGGGAAGCACATTGGGTCTTAGTATTTTATGGACAACGTTGATTTAAATGATAATTCTGAAGAACTGAACAAATTCTTCTCTATTACCAGGAAATAAATGTCTAATAAGTCAACTGGTTCATCATAAAAATAAGACAAACTGAAATAAGTTCCTAAAGGTAAATAAACAAAAGTTGAAAGACTGCTAAAATCTACACTTGTGACCCACTTTCAAAATATTTCTAATTGAATCAATTTCCAAACAAAGCTGCAGTTATTTGATGTAGGGCAATAGCTAATATACTTAGCTCTCAATAAATGTTAGTTATCTGTCTGGTGCTCAATACCAATATAGCAGTATGTTTTAATATTCACATCAACCCCATAACACAGGTACTATTTTTAACCTCATTTAACAGATGAGTGAACTGCAGCAAAGCGGTTAAACAATACGACCAATAACATTAGGAAATGGAAGAGCCAGGATCTGAGCCCAAATGTCTGGCCTGAAGCCATGTTAGTCTGGATTTTATGTAAGGTCAACAGACTGAAGAGTATTTTTTTAGTGTTTTTTTTTAAGCTCTCTTTTAAGAGAATTACCATCAGGTCTGCAAAATCCCCCCAACTACAGAGTGCTAAATCCCCATGTACCCACTAAAACAAAAGGAGACCCCAATCCTACTTAGTTTATGCCCTGAGCCTGTTTACAGTCTTTTCTTACCTCTGGACTCACCACACCAACTGTCTGTGCTAGCGGAGCAAGCAAAGACATGGAGGAGATATTCAGGGCATCCTCCTGGTCCTCACTGCTCTCTGCTTCCGCCTGGCCCGCCTCCTCCTGGCTCCTGGCCACATCCAGCTCACCCTCCTGTAGGACGTCACTGAAGATGTCATTAATCACTTGTGAACTGTTGATGTCATCCGCCTTGTCCACACTCATCTCCATCTCACGGACCACTTCTGAAAAATATTTCAGTAAGCGAAGACTGTGCTTCAGATGTGAAAAAATTAAAGGGATCGTCAAGAAGATCTAACATTCATATGCTTACTAAGTAAAGAAGGGAAAAGCCCTAATGAAAAGCACTTCCTAAAAAATAATAGTAAAACTTTCTAGTATATAAAACCAAAATAATTTTCAAAACTCTAGGAATATTTTCTAAGCAATAAAAGAGGAAACTATCAAAAATTAATTCAATGCTTTGAGTGTAAGAAAGACTATTAAGAACTCGGGATAATAGCCAAAATTTTCAGACTTACAAAAAATGTTCCTTGAAATGACTTTCTATTGTGGGAGCTGCCCTTTGATGTGGCAGCCACTAACAGGAAAACATTGACGCCACCCAGGGCAGGACTCACAGATACCTTCAGGGGCCACAACTCTCCTGACGTAAATGCCCAGTGCGAGGGCAGTGCATTCCCTTCCCTGTGAAAAGTCCATGATAGCCTAGAGCACACTCACTGGGGCCTGTGACCTAAAGATAACTGTTAACAGCACTCTATCTTGTGGAGGCTAGAGTACTCCTTACTTAAAAAAAAAAAAGAATTATAAAATCACAAGACATTTAGAAACAAAGGACATCATATAGTTGAATATGTGCTTCCAATATATTATTTCTTATAACATGTTCAGTGTTAACAAGAAATAAAGAATAAAAACCAACCTGTTTGCTGCTCAACCTTTGGGTCCGAAGTTACTTTTAAAGACCTTTCTTCTTCTAAAAACAATGTTATTTTCAAAGGGCTAGACTTCATCATTTCACAGTCAGTGAAACCTAAAAGTTTCAGGAAAAAAGGTATTAACATATATATGAACCCAGAATTTTTTGGCTATAGAGCCTTCTGTCTCTCTTTCTGATTATAAACTTGCATTTCAGTTCTAGAAATGTATAGAGAATACCTCAAACACCTGCCTTCTCTAACACCCCGTCGCTCATTGTTCCTCAACAATGTGAATATACTTAACACTGATGAACTGTGCACTGAGCGGCTGGTTAGATGGTTAAATTTTAATACTGTGTTTACCACAATTTAAAAAATAAAAAGTATTTCTCTAACGGTCAACGACATATTAAATGTCATTACGTACACAGCTACCTTAATCTTTTAAAGCAGCTACATAATATTTGATTACATGGACTTCATACAATTTATTTAAACAGTCTTCTACTGATGGGCATTTAGGTCATTTAAATCTCATTACAATTACAGACAGTGCTACAATGGATCTCTTCGTACACAGCACATCCTTCACACTAGTTCTAAGAATTCAACTTACACTTGCAGAGAAGCTGAATTTCGTACACCTTACAATTCAATTACAAGTTGCAGTAATTTACACTCTCATCAAGAGTACGAGTTCTCCCTCTGGAAAGGGAACTGAGGCAAAAGCTTATCGTGTGGCCAGAAGTGAGAGTGGGCTTGGGAAGGAGGACGGATCTGCCTGTTTACACGAGAGCAGCATGTCTGACTTCCACACTGATTTCCAAAACTACGGCAGACTGAGAGTTTCTCGTAGTGAAGTAGGAAGGGAAACGCTGACCTGCGGGTTCTGCTCTGGGAGGTTTCGCTGGAGTCTGATTTTCTGCCCCCTCTTCCTTTTCTGCTACTGGATGTGACAGAGAATCTGAAACAACTTGGTGTTTTTTGAGGGGAGTGTTCTGACAGTGAATTTCCTGCAAAAAGCAAATGAAAAGATAAATTTTACTTGCCCAAACAATAAAATTTTTGTCTTTTACATGTTGTTATATGAAACAAACCACAGTCATTATTCTATATAAGCTTGCTCAGAACAAAACAGACAACACGTGTGAAAGGCCTGGCCATGTTCGGAACATGTAGGTTATTTCTCAAAGCACACTGGTTACACAGACAGTGTTCTTCTTCTACTGATACCCACTTTCAATGTACCTCTATTATTTTTAGCTTAAAAATGTATCCTAATACAGCACTTTGTACACAGCAGGCATGGAAACGAAACATAACATAGTTTACATTTACAAGGAGCAATTTCGTTGAAGGCTGATTAATGAAATTGGACAGGAAGTGATATAGAAATAAAGAGAAATCTGGGAGGTATTTGGTTACTAAAAGGATTAGATAGTCTAAAAGAATGGTATTTGGGGAGAGGTATACAATCATTAATGAGAAAAGGAGATTCTGAAAAACATTTTAGAACCGGTGTCTAAGTAGAATGTTAAAAGGCATCAGAAATCAATGGAATAGTGGGAATAATTTTTTTTTAATTTGATTTTAAGTGGGCCATCAGTGAATTTGGTAAAGAGCTCACTGAGTGGGAAAACATCACAAGAAAAGCAGAGTCGGCATGAACACTTAAGGAGTTTGTGAGTAAAGCGGCACAGGTAACTGGCATAGGAAAGCATGTAAAGAATTGCTGTACAACACAGAACCACAGCTAGATCCCAGCCTCACTCTGGTGCTAAGTTTGCTCTCCTGTTCCTTGCCTGAGTTACCTGTTTGGTTTCTAGTTGTTTGCTTCTTGGGTTTTTGCCTTTTTCTGCACTCCATAAATTGCCCTTGTCAAATCGGCCACGGAGACATTCTAGTTCTTTTTCACGTTCCTGAAACCATCAAAAGCTCTATTTTACATAAGAACCAACAGTATGTTTAAGAATAATATCCAAACACTACTGACTTTGCTTGTCTTCAGAAAAAAATCACAATACAAAGGAACACGGAACAATAATATTTCTNTTTTAAGAGGAAAAAAATCACAATACAAAGGAACACGGAACAATAATATTTCTGATTTGAAATACGAGACACAGAGAATCAAGATGCTATTTATGTCAGTCAAGAAGACTGGCATGGGGATACACAACTTTATTTCTACAGGTTCTACGCTGAGACCATACAATGGACAATGCTGAAGGAGTAGGCCATACCTGCTTGAGCCGCTGTGCTGCGTGGGTAGTAGATGAAGATGTATTTTGCTTTAACAATCTTTCCTGGAGGGCCTTTGTATTTGGAGTGATAACAGGGTTTCTATGAGGCGTGCTATGGGCAGGACTCTCTCTGCTGCGTTCTAGACAACGCTCTCCAAAGCGCTCCAGGAAAGGCTTGACTCCTGCTCCTCCTACAGAAAATACGCACAGTGTTGGGGGCTATTCAGAATAAGTAACTATTATGATTTCTTTGGAAAATAGTCTAAAATCCGGTACAGCTCCAAAATGCTTTGATTCTACTAGGAATAGTCACTCAGAAAGGAAACAATATAAAAACAGTTCAAAATAAAATAAAATGTTTTTTACCATACTACTTAATTCCATGCCCTAAAATTTAATTTTAGGACTTAGTTCTTTAAAATATGTATGTATATTTCTTTTAAGGTGGCGTGCAAGGACAGTGGGGATCAGAAAACCCTTAAACTGAATAATCGGAACCTAACTACCAAGTGTCCTGGCCATGATAACCCAATTACTTACATTTCTACAGCCCAATTTATTTTATCTTGCTTTTAAAAAGTCTAACATATGAAAATCCAGGAATTATAATAGTATGGGGTACATTTAAAGCAGAACAAATGAGAAAGAAATCGCCTCCATCTTAAGGATACAAGGATCGTACTGTGTAAAAGGAGTTCATCTACATCAGTAATTGGGAAACATTTCCCCTTAAGGAACCAGCAAATAAATACTTGGGCTTTGCAGAATATACGGCCACTATCACGACTCAACTCTGCTTTGAAGCAGAAAAGCAGTCAGACAGCAGATGGGCAGGGTGTGTCCCGGTAAAAGTTTATTTACAAGAACAAGTGAAGGGCAAAATTTGACCCAGAGCCATAGTTTGAAGGCTCCACATGTCCCTTATTAACACTTCATCCCACATCTCAAACTAAAGTCCATTAAGGATACAAAGAACCGTGTAAATTACATATCTCTGAGGCCCTATTACTGTACTCTGGGGGTACACAATAGCCAAGCATGAAAAAAAGGCTTCTGTATCTATGCCGTTCTGATCTGTGCCCTAAGTCTTTAGAAAACTGGGAGTAACTAACCCTTTTCCACACTGGATTTTGCTGTTGCTTCCAATTCTCATTTTGGCTCATCTGGAAACTGGCTGCTGGTTGCTACTTACCCCATAACTAATGGATTCCCCCCTCTCATCTCTCTGTCTACATCTCTTTTATGATGAACTATATTTTCTCAAGAGTTTGTTTTTCAAGAAGTTAAAATTTAGAATGAAAACAGTTTTTCCAAAAGCAATTCTAAGGAAAAAATATACAGTTCAAAGTAAACAATATTACCATATTTCTGAGTCTTGTGTTTCTTAACCAATAGCATGTTGGGGTATACAATAGGTATAAGTCACCACAAGATAAAGAAGGTAATTTTGAATTTTCATATGTACACACTCACACACAATATACATGCCAACAAACATAACTGGAAGTGGAGTCCTTTGTATACACATTCGCTTCCCTTTGCTATTAGGGGTGCCTTCATAGTGAAGTTTGAGAAGCACTGCTTTGCACACTTGGTTGTAAGAACGTTTCTCCACTATGCCCTTAAAATGGGACTTCCAGTTGCATGTGCTTTGTCTGCATCCAAAAGTACAGAAGAAAGTATCTAGCACAGGCATTCTAAGTAAAAAGCATGTTTAAACTGCTAAGATGCAGTGGGTTACATACTTTGACCAGTAACTGGATCAGTCTACACTAATAAATATTTATCAATTAAAGCTGACTTGGAAGAAGTCTCATCTGATACATTCCGGCACTTGCCCTGGCAAACCAACACTGTACCATTCAAACCTGATATTTAAAATGCTGAGAACAGAAGCCCTGAAAACAAAAGTAACTTCAGATTTTTAAAAAATACATAACCTGGTGTTGTAGATTTGTCTTTTGTCTGAGACTGCAGACAAGTTTCTCTATTTAATTCTTCCCTGGGCCGAACTGTCTGGGATTCAGCTGACTTCCCAGTCGGTTTCAATGCCTCTGTTTTCAGAGAACTAACAGGAGTTTTTGGAAGTCGCTCAGGCTTTTGTACCTTACAGCTTTTAGCATCGGTGACAGATATAGAAGATTTCACAGGGGAAGAAGTTTTCTGAAACACAATTTATACTTAGGGTAAATAACAACACTCAAAACAGTTAAAGATAGTCCCACAAAAAAACAACTCAAATCCTATTTGCTTGGTAGCCTTATGTAAAGTCATGGAAAAAAAAATGTTCTTGTTACCTAATAGATCATACCATTCTGCAAGGTTTGAAAAAAATCAACTTGGAAATGCTGTAATTCAAAGTATACTACATAGTTTTGTCTGCACAATATGTTGATGGGTAATTTAGAATGAGGGATAGAATCACTATTTTTTTAAAAAAATTTCTTTCATAGTATCATACTAGTACATTTATAAATTTTAACTGTGTTAAGCCAAATTACATATTTTTTTGTATTTTAATTACAGCAGTATTATTTTAACAAAATAGTATCATAGCCCTGGCCAGTGTGGGTCAGTTGGCTGAGTGTAGTCTGGTGCACTGAAAGCCTGCCAGTTTGATTGCAGATCATGACACATGCCTGGGTTGCAGGTTGGGAGGCAACCAATTAATGTCTCTCTCTTTCTCTCTCTCTCTCTCTCCCTTCCTCTCTCTCTAAAATCAATAAATCAATAAAAATATATATTGTTTTTAAAAATTGTATCATGTGCTTGGTAACTAATTATAATAAATTAGGTACTTGCTACATGCCAAGCACCATGCTAAGTGCTCTATGCACTTTATTTCACTCCACCTTCCCCAGGACCCTATCTAGGCTCTGTAAGATGAAGTAATTTGTCCAAGGCCACACTTCCAATTATGTGGTAGGGCTGGAACTGTGTGCAGATCTAATTCCAAAACCCAGCTCTCTACTTAAAGACGATGCTCAGGAACACAACATTTTCTTTTTTAGTTAAGATTTTTGTTTTAAACTGTGGAGGTAGTACATGCACAAGAGAACCTTCCAAAAGGACTTACAGTGGAAGTACAGTGCCCACCGCTGACTACTGCCCCCTGGTAACTATAGCTACCAGTTTTCGGGAATCCCTGCTATCTTACATGTACCCACATGCACAAGCATTCTAGAAGAGAGCCATTTCAGTGTCCCCCCTGATGATGAAGAGGCTCCATCATTTCATGTTACACACTTTGGAATTGCACTAGTTGTTAACATATCATTTACCTTGGGACAGAGGTACCAAATTCATGACTTCCACTTTCTATGAAACCAATATTCTAAAAATACGCATAAACTGTGGGTATGTTATAAAAACACATACCTACACATAAATGTACATTCTCACTCATAACAGAAGAAAAAGATTTTTGTATTTAAATTGTATGTACTTACCGCAGGGCTGGAAACTACGACCTTGGTCAAGGATGTGCCCTCAGCTCTCGAGGCCAGGGCCTTGCTCAAAGGGGCATTGCCATCCCTCTGGGAGCCGCATGTAGCTTCCTGCGTAACACTGCTGCTATTGATGTGAGCAGATGCTCCGCTTGCAGAGGAAGCTTTGGATAAACAAGTGGTACCAGGCTGTCCCTGGGCACTGTTCTGCTTTGCAGATGAGTGACTGACATCATCTTCCCAGGAGCAAATAGTTGCAGCAAGGTTGGCCAGACGGCCCCTTCTCCCAACCGGAGTTGCTGAGGTTTCCGCTGGTTTGGTGGGGGAGGGAGCCTTGTCCTCCGCTGGCACTGCTGAGATGAGGGAGCTTTCAGGGGTATCATCTGAAAATGTTTTCCGAAAAAGAATTAGCACCCACGCTCAAGAGATGCAAGTATGTGTAAATACCACGATCACTCTGGTCAGAATTTTTATTTTTAATATGTCTTTATCGATTCCAGAGAGAGGAAGGGACAGGGAGAGAGAAACATCAATGATGAGAGTCATTGATCGGCTGTATCCTGTGCCCCCTACTAAGGATGATCGAGCCCGCAACCCGGGCCTGTGCCCTGACTAGGAATCAAACCATGACCTCTGGGACCACAAGCCGATGCTCAACCACTGAGCCACACCAGCTGGGCATTCAGAATTTTTAAATGAGGTTAACAGGTTTAAGAACTAGTTAAAAGCTCTCATATGCATGAGGGTACCAAGGTGCTTAAATCTGACAATATCTTTTCAAATCAGATGATAGTTAATCCAAATTAAAAAAGAAAATCAAAACTTTCTCATGCCTATTTTTTTCCAGTTCTTTGATGGAATGTGAATGCTATAAGATACCATACATTCAAAGTTATATTTTTAGAATTCATGCTGTTACAACACTGAACAATTTAAGATTATGTATTCCACAGGAACTTTTATTTTAAAAATAAATTAGACCAGTGTTGTATAAGAGAACTTTCTGTGACGTTGGAGATGTTCGATCCGTGCTGTCCAATACAGTGACTACCTGAGTACCCGAAATGTGGCTAGGGCAAGTAAGAAGCCTAATTTCATTTCATTTTAATTAATTCAGATTTTAAAACCACATATGGTTAGTGGCTACGGTACTGAATTTTAGCTGCTGGCCGTGGGCAGCTTCCTTAGCCACTCTGCACCCAGTTTCTTCTTCCGTAACATGAGGATAAAAATGGATGGATCTCATAAAATCATTATGAGAATTAAGTGCTATACTCTTAGAGCAAAAAGATACTTAGGATGCCCGGCACTTTACCCAGTGTCTGCTCTTGAGTTTATCATCGCTGCCAGAAAGGGTACTCTTAAATACTTTGTTGTGCAACACTTATCAAAACTTCTATTGAAAGAACTAATATTTATGGAAAACTGCCCAAAGTACATGCAGTCCATCTGCTTCTTCAGATCACTTGGTCTCAGTTCTGGCTATGCATCAGAATCACCTGCAGCTTAAAGAAAAGGCAAAAGCACTCCCCAGGCTCCACTGCACTCCTGAGATTCCAATCCAACGGTCTGGTGACTGATTCACTGGAGCCAGGCTCTGAAGGCCATGCCGAGGAGCACTTCCTTGGGAGAGTCCCAGCTGTCCACCTGCACTCTGTGGGCTCACTCTGTAACTGCTGTCACTGGTGTGAGCTCGGGGCTGGACCATCTGCCTCTCGTGAGTAACCAGCCTGCACAAAGCCATCTTTGACGACACCAGGAAGAAAGTTCTCTCGGGTCTCAGTGCCAATGATGGTTTCTGCTTTTATCTTATAAACACTAGTCATGTAGCTGATGGTTTTCCCCTCCTTCCACTGGCTACTAGTAAACTCAGAACCCTTTCTAGCAAGTGAGGAGGACTTGCGCCTGTGCTCAGTAACCTAACCTCACCCTTCACTTCGTTTCCCCCTCTCTGCACCCTGATCTTACTTTGCTTGTTCTGTAACAGAGGTATTTTTGTAAGTCACCTCAAGGCTTTTTCCTAACAAATTAGGAGATAAATAAAACCTATCATAGAACAATAACCTGCTGTGTGACTGCTGACCTGCTCTCCGGCTCCCCATCTGAGGACAGGCCTGGGAAAGGCAAAGCCCAGGTCGCTCCATCTGTTTCCAGCACCTTAGCAGGCTGACATGCTTTGTGGGTGCTCGATAAATGTTTCTCTGAGGTTTTCTCCCTCCCCTATTCAACAGCACTGCATACCATAGTCATTCAAGTTTCCTCAATTCATCCATGAAACAGAACTTCTTGGATCTAGAGCTGAAGGTCAGCAATGCTAATAATGCCAAGAGTCTAAGAACCTCCTCCTCATCTACTGCGGTGAGAGCCACCACCTGGTAAGTACACTGCTGATATACAAACCACGTGCAAGTGACGACACTAGGACAGAGATAAAGCAAAAGCATTTATCTTCATCTGTTAACTGATAAATACAATTCTCAGCATACTAGGGTGACTCCTACTGACAGAGATTTAAGGGCCATACCAATGCTATCATTCGTACCTGTCGCATCGTTACTGTCCCAGTGGCGCCGCTGGGCTGCCAGCCTTTGCATTCGCGTTTTAACAGAGGAGGCTGCAGTCACTTCTGGTCTTGAGTTCGGTGCTCTTTGCAGGCCCAATAGCGATGCCCGGTTGGCGGGCAGGGGATCACTGGCCAGAGCAGGTGCCTGTGGCTGCGCCTGAGGGGACACAGGACTCGGAGAACAAGGTTTGGCAGAAGCTGACTCAACCGGTTGTTCATTTTCCGAGTTGGAAACTTCTACTTCAGTGTTGTCAGAACAGCGTTTTTTGGATGGTGATGGCTTTGTACAAGATTTCTCTAGATAAAAAGGGGAAGAAATTTAAAATTCCATACTTTCTCACAGCAACTTGCCATAGGTACTTAACAAATTAATAAAGCACCATGTTTCTCTAATCCTTTAAGTCATTTTACTTAAAAAGAAATATGTAAAAATTCTACTTTATTTCAGGAACTTGAAAATCAAATATGAGAGATTTCTTTTTTTAAAAACTGTAATTTATGATTTAAAAAACCTGAATGAAAATAAGTTCAAGCTACAGTCCCAAGATATATGCACAATACTTTATACAGTTTAAGACAACAGGAAATTAAAAGTGCACACACAGAATAAGCAAATGTGCCAGGGGCTGCTAAAGATCACACAGCCCGATCACCTCATTTTTAGATAAGAAAAATCAGGTCTGAAGAAATTTAGCTACCTGCCTACAGTGACCCAGCTGTACTAAGAGGAGAAATGAGACTTTCTGTTTTTAAAACAATCCTTCATGGACAATAATAAGCAAGGGTAGGAGGGCACCTGACCTTGAGGTTTAGGAAAGAGCAGGGAACCAAAAGAGTGACTGAATTATCTAGTCAATACCAAACAAATACATCAGCACAAGTGTTTAACAACATTTCACATTTTAAGCTTCCATGAACACCCATAAAGTAAAATTTAAAGTCCTAAAATAAAAAGGAGCAAACATAAGCATATTATTGCAATTCAGGAATAAGTTTTAATGCATCCCCTAGAAAATTAATATTTTTAAAAACTCAGAATGTAAATTTCATAAGAGGTCAGTTTCATCAGTTGTCTAACCAAGTATTCTTGTTCTGGCAGTGACCAAAGTTGTATTAGTGAGAGGCCCTTATCAACATCCATCTAATTAAATATACATCATGAAATTTTCTAATCTTCTGTAATTCATTTACTTTCCATTAACTTATCTTTTTTAAAAAAAAAATATATCTTTATTGATTTCAGAGAGAGGAAAGGAGAAGGAGAGAGAGAGATAGAAACATCAATGATGAGAGTCATTGATCGAGCCCACAACCCGGGCATGTGCCCTGACCAGGAATCGAACCCCGATCGCCTGTATCCTAGGTCGACGCTCAACCACTGAGCCATGCCCGGCCAGGCAACTTATCATTTAAGCATCAAAATGTAGTTTTAACCACTGATTTTCAAGCACAGAGTGCTCACTATTTGATTGTATAAACCCAAGTCACAGTGGAAACAGAAGATCCTGGACTGGGACCAGGCCTCTATTTTCCTGGCCTAATACCATGTATATGAAATGTATTTCCCTACCTTCCTTCAAAATAAATTTACAAAAATAAATGATCATTCTATAGTTGGTTTCTAAAATAACTGCAAGCCAGCCCCCAGCCCTCATCTCTGTAATACTTTTTCTGCCTGTATTTTAAAGTTATACTAAGGATTATCTCCAGACTATTCCACACTCTAGGAAAAGACTAAGGCAGCCAGCTGGGGATGCCAGGACTTAGGAAAGAATAAGGCAGGTTTCGGAGTGTTTATGTGTGTCTAATTTCACCAGTCCTATATAATAACAACCCATACTCTGGGCCTAGCCCTAGGGAGTTGGTTCAGCAGACAGACGATAAAAAGCCTCAGTAATGATTCTCTTTTTGAGAATCATTTTGGTTAGAGGATAATAAAGTTCAACCAATTAACTTGAACTGTTTGTTAAAAGAAACTCTGCTATAGCCCAGGAGGTTTAGTCCTAACGTGGAAAATAATCCTGAAAGAGAAAGAGAAGGCTGACCTTTCCCCCGGGGACTGCCACATTGGTCTCCCAAAGACTGATTCTTGTGTACAACCAATGAAATGTTTGGGGCTTCTCTCCTTTAATTACCTCACAGCCTTACCTTCTCCCCCAGGCAGGGGCTGCTGGTTACTTGCTTCTGCAAGCGGCTCTCTGGCTCGCTTGGCAGGAGTCACAGACCTCGGAGCTGCTATGGGCCTCTCAGCCATCTTCCTCTGGAGATTTTCTCGCCTGGCACGGGTTCGTTCGAGCAGTTTCTACATGACATTTAAAACACAGTTTAGTCAAAGGCTCACAGAACTTCAGGTAACTTCTAAAATCACCAATTGCGCCCAGCCAGGTATGGCTCAGTGGTTGAGCATCAACCTGGGATCCAGGCGATCGGGGTTCGATTCCTGGTCAGGGCACATGCCCGGGTTCTGGGCTCGATCAATGACCCTCTCATCATTGATGTTTCTCTCTCTCTCTCTCTCCTTTCCTCTCTCTAAAATCAATAAAGATATATTTTTAAAATAAATAAATAAATAAATAAATAAATAAATAAATAAATAAAATCACCAATTGCCGTGCAGGATAACAGTTAAATACATTTCCAAAGTGAAATCTGAAGTAATTTTAAGTCAAGATCCACTAAGTGAGCAGCCCAATGTCAAGATCATAACAGATATAACATGAACATTAAGGAGGAAATAAAACATGGGTACAGTTAACTGTATGAGATTTTAAATGGCCACACTTTTTATTGTTCCCATCAAAAGGTAGAATCTACTTCCACACCCCTGAACTGCGCTGGCCTTGTGATTTACTTTGACCAATAAAATGTAGCAGAAGTGACCGTGTGTGACTTCCCAGGCCTCGAGAGGTCTTGCAGTTTCTACTCCCCCTCCCTTGGAACACTGCCTCTCCGTGAAGAAGCCCAGGGTAAGCCCGCTAGACATGCCGGCTGAGCTCACATCATCTGCCACATCACACAGGCTCCATGCATGACCCCTGGGGAGAACAAAAGCAGCACAGCTCATGTGAACCTAACACAAATTGCTGACCCACCAGATCATGAAAAGTAGCATGGTGGTTGTTTTAAGCTCTAAGATAGGTGAACAGAATAATGGTCCCCAAAGATGTTCACATCCTAATGCCTTGAACCTATGAATGTTATATGGCAAAAAGAATTAAGTTAAGAATATTGAGATAGAGAGATCATAGTGGGTTATCTGGATCAATGTAATCACAATGGCTCTTATAAGGGGAAAGAGAGAGGCAGGAAAGTCAGCATCAGAGAAGACATGGCAGTGGAAAGAGAGGTCAGAGTAATGTGATTGGTGGCTGAGAAGACCACCCAGAAGCGCAGGTGGTCTCTAGAAGCTGGAAAAGGTGAGGAAATATGTTCTCCCCTAGAGCCTCCAGAAGGAACACAATCCTGCTGACACCCCGATTTTCACCCAATAAAATCCATCAGACTTCTGACCTATGGAAAATAATATGTATGATTTTGAGCCACCAAGTTTGTGGTAATTTGTTACAGCAGCAAAACTAATACAACCACTAAGATTTAGGGTGGCATTAAACAGCAAGAGATAACTGACATATTAGTCCTCTGAAAACAGGACACTTCCTAAGAGGGAAAAAGAAAAACTAAACAATCTTAATGTTTTATTTAAGTAAATATCAATATAAAAGTTTTATGTTGAAATCTGAGTCGTTCCATAAAGTTATGAATACTCTTTCCTTGCCCTGAACACTGAAGTGCCTATTTGAATTGGTGTGGAAAAGCAAACACAAGACCTGTAAAACAATGCGTTCTCTTCCGAATGCACACAACTGGAGGAGGGGTGCAGAGTCTCAGCTGGAGTTTATGTCCTGACCTATGACAGATACAGTACTTAGCAGACTATGAAATTAAACTCCAAATGACCTTTTTAATTCCTTAATTAAAACAGAATAACAATTTTTAAAAATTCCTCAGAGTATGCAAAAGCACAAGCTGAGCTGGGAAGAATGCCAACTCTCTCCCCTCTTTAGGATGATTTCTACCTTAAAGTTCATTGAGCTCTGGCCAGTGTGGCTCAGTTGGTTGGAGCGTCCTCCCATGCACAGAGAGGTAATGGGTTCGATTCCACATCAGGGCACATGCCCAGGCTTGTGGGCTCGATCCCCAGTAGGGGGCATGTGGGAGGCAGCGATGGAGGTTTCTCTCTCCCCCTTCTCCTCTGGAATCAATTTTTTTTTTAATGTATCTTTATTGATTTCAGAGAGAGGAAAGGGGGGGGAGAGAGGGAGAGAGAGAGAAACATCAATGATGAGAGAGTCACTGATCAAGCCTGCAACCCGGGCATGTGCCCTGACTGGGAATCGAACCCCAGTCACCTGGATCCTAGGTCAGCGCTCAACCGCAGAGCCACGCCCGGCTGGGCGGGAATCAAGTTTTAAAAATAAAATAAAATCAACTAAATTAAAAAAAAATATTTTAAAAAAGTAAGTTCTTTGAAAGAAGTGACACTAAGTCAAAATGCACTGTCATTGAAATGGTGATTTATGAACCAAGTGCCTACAAAACACAAAACCCTCCCCCTTTAAATAAAAGTCCTCCACAAACTCAAAAGCGATATTGTTAAACTATATCCCTCCCCAAATAAAACTAGCCTACTTATATTCACTCATGGACATGCCCACACTCCATTCCAGTCGGTTAGAATACTTGTGAGTCAGTGTATCTTCAGTTACTAGGAGCAATGGGTCACAACAAAAGAATGTGGTTTTGCCATTCTAACTTACACAACTGTTCTATTGTCTACTCTGGATCCAAAAATTCAAGATTAAAAATAAAGTAGATGAGCAAAAAGTGAAAAACAACCTCCTTTGGTAGGTTCTGTTTTTACTACTGTTTTAGAGATGAAAGCCATAGGTCACATAGCTAAGAAGAGGCAAGGCAGAATTCAAACTCAGGCTCCAGAGTCTGGGTTCTTAAACACTTTGCTATAAACTATCTTTTGACAAAATCCAATTGCTCTTTTTAAGAACTTATTGTCAGAGAACTAACTTCATATCATCAACATAACTGTTTTAGTACTATCTGCTTAAACTGCTTGTCTGCCCATGAATCAAGATGGGGTCATTTCTAGACCCTGTCTAGATCCTGATTCAAACGAACTGCAAAAGCATGAGATGTTTAGAGAAATCTGAACATTGACAGAATACTTGATATATATTAAGGAACTGTTGTTAGTTGTTTAGATGTGATAACGACATGATGTTTTTCTTTTTAAAGTCCTTACATCTAATGATAGACTTATGTATGAAATTATATGATCTCTAGGCTTTGCCTTCAAATAATTCAGTGGGAAGGATTGGGGGGGGTACAATGCCCTTGTGTTGCTAGGTGATGGATGCATGAGCAGTCATTACAAATGAGCAATTTGAAATTTTCTACAATTAAAAAAAATTGCTAAAATGTTCTAACAGCTACTGTTGTAATTATTTAATTTTAAAATAACACCAAGTGGCTTTCTCCTATATTAATTCAGCAGCATGTTACTGGGTGTGCTTGAGGTTAGGGAAACCTCTCTGAACAGGAAAGAACAGGCCTGCTCATGAAGCTCACATTCCGGCAGGAAACATGCTCAGGAGGTAAATGCACGTGAAATGAGCTCCGTGAAAGGTGACCTCTCTGAAGAAGGGAGAACAGTGTGTGGGCAAGAGGTTAAATCAATGTCTGCCAGCAGAAGAGGCAGGGAGAGGTGTGTGCCAGAAAGCCCCAGTGGCAGGCAGGGAGAACCACAGAAAAGAGTTTAGGACAGCAGTAGCCTTTCTCAACCCAAGTTACCTAGAGAATTAAGCCCTGGTTCCCTGACATCAATGTAATGAATTAAAAGCTCTGCTATGCTTGTAGGAGGGCATGGGGAAATTGAGAAAACCGTCTCTCAATCTCCCGTGTTCTATGTTTCTGATAAGAACGCTGGTTGAGAAAGTCATTTCAACGGACTTTCAGTCCTCCTCAGACAAGGAACTGTGCCAGGTCCTTTCACTGTGCAAAAATGTTATGAATGCTGTAAGGAAGCACCTACTGCTGGAACCAATTCAAAGAGTTCAGTCACTGCCAATTAAGGAAAAGCTGTCAAAGCCGTTTATTCCAACTGCAATGGACCTAACTCTTCATAATACAAACCATACATACTAAACAATACACATTTCTGAGCACTCTCTAAAATGAGGGTTTCTTTCAAATAAAGTTTCTTTCAACTGAGATTTGTACTGCTTCAGAATGACATTTTTATGTAAAATGAAGTAGAGATTTCAGCCAGCTTTCAAAATGCTTTGTCCCTGTTACTTAGAATAAATAAAATATTCAGAACACACTGGACTAATGTTTTAAGGAATCCTATTCCACGTTAGTAACGTGAAAGATATGGCAAACGACTGCCTGCCCTATTCTTTAAAGCTATTACAAAAATGTGTTGTGAATCTTTAAAAGGTAAAGAAATTGTGATTTCTCCCAAGATTGAGAATTTGATACAAAAATACTGTTGTGTTTGAAAACAAGTAAACTCTAACTGCTGAAACTTTTAATTACCTTACACTTATGGAACTGTACTGCATTTCAAAAAAAAGTATTACTACTCTCCATAGCATTTAAATTTTTTAATCTAGCTTGGAGACATTTTTAGNACTGCATTTCAAAAAAAAGAAAAAAAAGTATTACTACTCTCCATAGCATTTAAATTTTTTAATCTAGCTTGGAGACATTTTTAGGTCCACTTTGCAAAACCTCAAAAAGTAACAGTTTGAAACTTGCTCAACCTTAAGAAAGGGGGGGGGAAGGGAAGTGGACAACTGGCAACACGAAACTGCTGATCCGAGCACCCTCAACAAGAAGTCGAAGCTGGAGAAACCACCCCAAGGGAAGAATGTACTTAATCCGCATTCAACGTCCAGAGGACGAGAGACGAGTGGAACGCTGCTGTGATGTCATCCACCAACACACACAAAAAGGTTTATTTCCTTACTCTGGTTTTTTAAGTCGTGGGCTAATAACTTTGGTTTGTGCAGAATTGGGCCAGCACTTCCCCTTTCCATTCACGCGCTAACCCGGGGATGAAGCTTCCCCCCCGTCAGCTGAGCGACGGGACCCGGAGGAGCTGCTGAGTCACAGGGACCGGCGGTCTCGGGCACCGGCCACTTCAACGCTTCGCTGTCACTGCGTGAACACCATCCTGAAACGCATCCGCAGCTCCTCTGCGGGCCGCTCGAATCCCGCAAATCA